AATTTAACGTGTATCAAGAAATGTTCGTAAATTTTATCAAAATTGAGACATTGCTGCAGTGTCTTCTGTCTGATTATTATAATTATTAGATCTACGTTTTAGTGATGTTCAGTATATACCTAAGTATAAATATGGCTATATGAGTTCCGGCAAACTAATATATGAACGAAATTCCTTGATATGCTCTTAACATTCGTTACTTACCCACTTATTTTGATGTTTGGTGTTTTCGATTCACCATTTCTTTGCTTGCCATCTTTAAGCCTTGCTCTCTAGCACAAATTTAAGTGTAACAAGTAAGGAAGTGCTAAGTTCGGGTGTCACAGAACACTTTATACTCTCGCATGATAAAGTGATAATCGAGATTTCAGGCGTGGTTGTGAACCGATTTCACCCATATTTAGTACATGTCATCAGGGTGTTATGAAAATATTATATACCAAATTTCATTGAAATCAGTTGAGTACTTCCTGAGATATGGTTTTTGGTCCATAAGTGGGCGACGCCACGCCCATTTCAATTTTTATAAAAAGCCTGCGTGCAGCTTTTTTCTGCCATTTCTTCCGTAAAATTTAGTGTTTCTGACGTTTGTTGTTAGTCGGTTAACGCACTTTTAGTGATTTTCAACATAACCTTTGTATGGGAGGTGGGCGTGGTTATTATCCGATTTCTTCCATTTTTGAGCTGTGTATGGAAATGCCTGAAGGAAACGACTCTATAGAGTTTGCTTTACATAGCTATAGTAGTTTCCGAGATATATACAAAAAACTTAGTAGGGGGCGGGGACACGCCCATTTTCCCAAAAAAAAAATACGTCCAAATATGCCCCTCCCTATTGCGATCCTTTGTGCATTCATTTTAATGTTTTTTTTATATCTTTATATATTTTAATATCTTTATTTATGGCTTAGTTATGACACTTTATAAGCTTTCGGTTTCCGCCATTTTGTGGGCGTGGCAGTAGGCCGATTTTGCCCATCTTCGAACTTTACCTTCTTATGGAGCCAAGAAATACGTGTATCAAGTTTCATCATGATATCTAAATTTTTACTCAAATTACAGATTACACGGACGGACGGACAGACGGACAGACAGACATCCGGATTTCAACTCCACTCGTCACCCTGATTACTTTGGTATATATAACCCTATATCTGACTCTTTTAGTTTTAGGACTTACAAACAACCGTTATGTGAACAAAACTRTAATACTCTCTTTAGCAACTTTGTTGCGAGAGTATAAGAACAATAATAAAGTTGACTGCAGTACGAGAGAGTATGTTATAAAGTGGTATAAATACTTTTTCACTTTTTATATTTGTTGTAAGGAAACATGAGCCATGACCGCTGCTCGAAACTAAGTGGTTACTAAAGATAGATTAAGTTCGAGAACGCAAGGTCTCATCACAAGTAAGACTTAAATTAATTGAACAACTGTTATGTTGCTATACTGTATTCGTTTCACTGTTAGCCAGCGCTAAGCAGCTCATAAACTGCTGATATCTCAATACTTACGCTCAAAAGTGAGAAAAGAAGACGAAAAATTTCGTATTGATTTATACATTGGCATTTTATTTCTAATTTCATTATATTTGTATATTTTAAATTTAACTCCATTTGTAACATGGCAATTGTTCATTCATTTATTTTCACTTAATTTAAATGTAATTTACTAGTATTTTCAACTTATTTTTTATTACAAAACATTTTTTGCTACATTTACTTTCATTAATTAAAAATAATAATTAATAATTTAATTAATTAGTACACACTAATTTTGCTCTTAACCTTTTACTGATATTATTATTATTAATAATAAATTTGTGCTTAGCTTAGTTATGTAATCACTTATGTTTATGTTAAATTTATTTTGTTGTTAGTTTGACCAGCAGCATTGAGTTTCATTAAATATTCGGTTTGACTTCAATTTCACCTAATATTTCATATGTTTAATTTTATCTTGCTTTTATTTGGTTTTGTTTTGGTTATTTGACTTTATTTTGTGCTAACATTAATTGCGTAAAAAATTTACAACTATTGAGATGCATTACTAAATTGATGACATGGCTTAGGTAAAAGAAACTAATTGTATTTTCTGTTCTTGTTTTAGCTATTGGTGTCATTAATTTATTAAACTAAATTGCCCCTTCTTGAAAAAAGGAGCTTAAAATAAACAAAAGAAATATATAACAACTAATTTATTAATCAAAGTAAATATACACACATAAGTACATATTTTATTGTTCTAAGCATTTATTTCGTCTGTGTTGCCATAACTATTTTCATTTCATTTTACTAACATTGACATCACTTCATATTTAGTTATGTAGTTTATAGTGGGACTAGAATTTCTTTACATTTAATTCATGCTTTGTAGTTTATCAATTTTCGTAGATTTTTGGTTTATTTACAAGTATTTGCCTATGTTAACAATTGGGTTGTAGTTATGTTTTAAGACGATCTGTGTGAGGTATAAAAAAATTGAAAGAGGAGCATTCAGAGAGGTTTCTGATCGTAAGCATAATTCAACTTTATCGTAGTTAAAATTGGGAGATGTGAAAACAGCACGATAAATAGAGAATAATTTACATATAAAAAACGGTAGCTTGAAAATCTTTGAAATAGTTAATTCGTTAAAAAAGTTGTAGCTGGTAACGAGAAAGGTCGGAGAGAAAGCCGCTTACTTTTGAACACATGCCCTCGATTCCATTGCCCAACATCAATATGGTGCAATCATCAGCGTAAGAGGTGATAGAAATTTTCATTCTCATTCTCTACATAAGGAAAAAACTAAATTTGACACCAGCTCGCGATTTTTAAACGCGTTTTTTCTTGAAAGTTTTTTGAACTGGCACCCACGATTCCAGCCAATCTCCTTGGCCGATTTGTGTAATTTTTTTTTTTTTTTGGAATTTTCAGAAAAGGCTTAGCTATATAATGACCTATAATCATCATTGTTAATAGATATTTGACATTACATTTAGTAACAAACAACAGGCGAAAAAAAAAATATTTAAAGTTTCACTATTTGGTCATTTATCAGTGAATTATTTCAGGTGAAGGTCATTAGATAGATATTCATTTGTACCCTAAAATAAAATTCATTCCGTTTGTTTCAGATCATCCACAATGGAGAAATCGTGGGTACCACTTTTAAAAATGGCATCTTCCGGTCACCCATATCTCCAAGGGATATCAAGAAAAGTTGAGAAGGAAATGTTTTCTCGGTACTATTATATATTACATGTAGAATAACATATTGAACTAAGAAGAAATTATAATTACACGTAAGAGAAACAACAAAATTGTCGGGTTGAAATCGTGCAAGAAAGTGTTAGTATACGTTATCAAAGTGGTATAAGCGTGGCCTACAATACTACCAAGTCTCGTTACCATATTTTACATCAGTTTCACTATTGTGAATGACGCAAATGCTAAATGAAAATAAAAGATAGTAATGATTTTGAGTAATGTAATCGGTCACCGGATTTCATGTCCATTTTAGTTATCGTTTTTAGTTAGCATGAATTTGTTATTACCGAGAAGTATTATTTATTGTTTAAATTGTATTTTATTATATGTTATTTTTTTATGGTTTTTCCTTTGAGAATTTTTATTCGTTTTTCTTTAGTGTTTGCTTCTAAAGTAAGTTGTTTATATATTTCCGCTGTAATGCCCTTTCATTACTTTAGCTTACAGGATTTTTTCTGTTTTTATGAAAAAAAAAAACAGAAAAAAAAACTTATATAAATGGCATCCCAGCGTTTTAGAACTCTTATCAATTATTTACATTAATTTTATAATAAAAGATATTTCTTTCGAAAACCATGAGTACAAATAAATTATAACATATTTTATAGCTTAAAGCTACGAATTTAATTTATATTTCAATATTTTACTCTAGATTTTTTTATTTTATCGTTTTTTATTTTTATTATACATTTATTTTCGCTGACTCGCCTTCTATTCTGCCATTATTTTTATTTTATTTTTTATATTTCAATTACTCTTTTATAACTATTTTTCAACATTCTTACCACACTTAATTTAACTATTGTTTTTAAATGCTGTTTAAGTCGTGTGTACATTGAGAATAGTTACACAAAATTTTTGGTTTTGTTTCGCTTTCACTATCTAAATTAATTTACATATACAAAATTGTTTACTTTAAATTGTTTGTGTGAATTATTTGCGCTTAATGTCGATACGTTTATTAAATATATTAAATATTGATTAAATGCGTTCAATGGTGACGTGTGAAATACATACATACAGTCGTAGCTTTTTGAAATGTGAAAATTGCGGGGGGTGTAGAGAACGCTGTTGTACTCAGTGGTTAAATTAAGATTTTCAAAGTTAAATTTTTATGAAATTTAGAAATGCTATGGATAATTAGTTATAGTATGTGACAATTAGTTTTTGTTAATAGTACCGTTCCTAAAACTATGCTTCTGTGCTTGTCCAAATATCCAAGAATGCATATGTTTACACTGTTCTCGAGTTGAGAAGCCTACTTTAAGTTTAAAAATGTTATATATATATATTTGATATTTTCTGTGTGCATTTTGTTCCACAAATACTCTTTAGATTTTACTAAAACTTTTGTTCACCGCCAACCATAATTTACACGTTAATATACATACATATAATCAGAGTTTTGTGAAATTCTTGTAACATACTAATAGAGTTGGTAGTTTGGTTTGTTTAGACTTACTCTCACCGTACCAGTCATTTACTGCGAGAACCTTAAACAAGTCGTAGCATACAATATTTTTCTTGTTAATCTCTCTGTTTTTGCCGCACTTTCTATTTATAAATTCTTTCACTCTCGCCCTTTAAATAATTGTCATTTTCATTCTAATTTATATTTTATGGTAATCCCTTACCTTCCTAGTGATAATAACTTTATTTACTCGTAAGTCATAGTTTACCCTAACAACTACGCTCATAAATGCAGCCACACTGTCGCTCTTACAGACGCACACAAACACACCCAAAGCTACTTTACATAGTTTTTTTATTATTTATCTTTTAAAGCGCTTAAAAAAGTACTTTAAGTTTTCGTTTAACTATTAGGATCTGGATGGGAACTTAATTTACATCAATTCGAGTGCCATTCTACTCTCTATTCCAATTGCCATTTGATGGCTATGTTGCTGCTGCCGCCTTGTCGTCGGTCTCTCGACGTCTTTGCGTCTTTTGTGTTGGCAGTAAAAGCATTGGTGCTGCATTGCGACACATTTTCGCCACCCGCTCTGGCGCGTGACCTCTTACCATTTGTGACAATTCCATAGTGAATGGCTCTGTTCGTTGGTAGACCGCAAATTTTTCATTCCATAGTTGATTGCTTTGCCACCACTTCCATCGGATGCGTTGACGCAGTTTATAATGCTGTGGCAGCTCAGCTCGATTTTCTTCTGGTTGTTGGTGTTGCTTTTGTTTTTGCTTTTCTGTCGATTGGCTGGGGTGCTCTTGCAGCAGCAATACGGCTAGGAGTGCCAGGAGCAGTAGGAGCGTAGCAGGGGGTGGTTGGACTTGTGGTGTGGCGTGTCCATGATGCATAGCAGCGGGATGTTCACCTGCACAGAAATGACACAAATTGGTTGCAAATAAATTGAAGTGGCTTGCATATTAATGCTCGTAAATAGTTTGAAGAAAAAAGAGTTAACTGCTTAATATTCAAAATGAAAAATAATAATATTCAGAAAATTTAAATTTTCCTGATTTCATAGTGAACGTTAGATATTGCCAAAGTCAGAACCTTTATTTTAAGATGTGTCTTCGAGGGAAGACGGTTCAAGGTTTATAGTAATTTCTTTTTCGTCATCTTAACAACATCGCTCAGTTATTATATTATATATAGCTGATTTTGTTGTTGTAATAACTATTATTCGTAAAAACAGTAAATTACTTGTAATCGATGCTATATATCAATCGATCCATTAAACTAGGTGTTTCGTTAGGATCGGACTTTAGGTAAAGGGAAATTAGATGACTAAATTTTATAGGAACCTTTTATATGCAGAATATTAATGTACATATATAGTATGTTGGCTATGTCCGAGTATAGTCTAGGTAAATAGGATTATATTATACTACTTATTATCGGCTGCTGTGCCATTTGGATGCTATCATGTTTCATCTTGACGTTCAAACCACTTTGTGGTTTCGAAGAAGCTAAAAATGTCTGATATGGTTTTTGCAGACATCAATTCAATGTTTGATGCTTGATGGATTCCATGGTGTTCTGTGTTAGATCTGGGTGCTCACAGATAAAGTGGAATTATGTTATTGTATCGCATACCTATTTTGGACCCATGCTCTCCAAATAGTCAATGCCCTATTATTGTAACAGTTATTCAGAAGATATTTTTCCTGGATCTATTTTATAAGTCGTTAGTTCTTTTCTTATCCTATTGCGGCCATATCTGTTTAGTTATATTGCATTTTGTTGCACTTTTCCATCTGTTATTTGCTAATTGTTGAAATTATATATTGAGCTCTTTCTTAATCGATCCTAACAGGCTTGGTATTAACTCTTCCTCGGATTCGTTAAGAAAAGCTCCTGCATTTGCTAGCTTGTCTGCTTTTTCATTGCCGAAAATATTATATTCCTGTCGAAAATGTTCGGGAACCCAGATCAAGTTTAGGTGAGCTTGTCGTCTAGTGAGCTAAGTGCCTTCTTGTAATTAAGGACTATGCTGAAAATAATCATGAACGACGACAAGCCCACGAGAGCCATCTGACTATCCATGTATATTGTTGCTTTATGTATCGTCTCGTAGTTATTCAATAGAGCCTTGCAAGTTGTGTCTATGCCCAGTACTTCCGCTTGGAAGATGTGTCGTGAATAAGTTTCGTCCGAAGTGTAGTTGGTTTAATGTTTTAACCGAGGGAAGCCGGTTACTAAACAAGTGATCTCGGTTAAAAATTTGAGATAGCAACTGCTTGGAGAGTAGTTCGTTATACCCCTTGACTGGGGCAAAATGTCATCACTGTGAACTTTTGCTTCAGCTTAACAGACACCTGCAGTTGTCCGGAGTGCGATATTCTGAGAAATTGGTTAATCCTTTTCTAAGTCTTTCTTTCAAGTGTTTCTGGCTAGAAATTTGAGAATATTTTTGTCGGCTCTTTATTAAGGTCGTATTCATATTCAAAGCCCAAACTTCTGTTTCGCCGAGAGAAATATTAAAATTTATACTTCTTCATTCATTTAGTAAAAGCAGTCATTGAAGAACCTCCCTATTTGAGAAATCGTTTTCGCACTTTAGGGATGAATATTAATTAAACCCAATATACCAAAGTATTTTTTCATTTAAATAGGAGTTGAAGTTTAGTTGAGTTTATTGGTTAAGAAATTGTTTTTTCTATTTTTTAAACGGCTCAGAAGAAAAATAGAATATTTTTATGAGCAATTTCGCCTTACGTTGATAGAGATTAGACTCAGGTGTTTACAAGAATATGATACGCTTGTTATTTGATTTAGAAGTTTATTGCCTTCGGCACACAAACTTTTTTGGAATGGTCTACAATTAACTATAAATCTCCAAAAACTATATAATTATACTATCCCTACTAAATATAGTATATTTAAGGTCCAGGACAAAAATTTTGCAACGGTTTATAGGGAGGTCTCTCTTAGCAAAAATTTATGCAGTTATTATGATTGTTGTGGACCTTATTAACTGAGACAGCAAAGAGTACTTTTTTTAGCAGTTTCATAGCATTTAACCTTTAAGTCATCTCAGTATTTAAATAATTATACCTGAAACCTCATATAAGTATTAGTTTATAGCGAACATTCGGTATTCCACTCGTGTACATATTAAACTCCTTACTAACGTAGAGTTTATCCCAAATAACTTAAAACTAAACTCACTCCATCAAATACACTACTATAAGAGCTGATCTAAGAACTTGCAGTATGTCAAAAGGCTACACCTTGTGGACCTAACCACACAACCGACTGTTCATAGCTTTTCGACACTTATTATGCATCGGCCATACAACAATTCTTCCAATATCTGCTTATTTTTAATCACACTAATGTCTCACGTTTACGAAATTAGTGCCGAACTCCACCAATTTGCTGAGTAAACTCAAACTCTACACGGACGCCCAGCTCTCGTGAGTTTTACTCTCATACTCAGCTTAATTTACTATTCGCTAATTAATCGACTTTTATGCACATCATGTTTATGAGCCAGCCAAGCAGTCAGCCATTTCGGAGTGAAGGAGTGAAGCGCGTTGAGCAAGCGTTATGCTTTTACTTGAATTACGTGGCCATTTGCATGATTTATGCATGACTTTTACAACATTGACTAGTTTTAGTGCTCGCATACATATTTATATAGCCCTGTAGGGAGGAAGGGGGAATAGGCGAAAGTGTTTAGCAAATATAATTACACACCCGTGTGCTCACACTGCGCTACCCCATTCACTTTCACTTTAAGAGCAATCATTTCCTCAATTTATGTGGCATAAAAGTGGCGCAGTGCGCTATTTGCGCTAATGGCCGTTAACCACCACGCTGGTGTATATGTGTGGTCGCTCTAGGCGCTTCGTCTGGTCTGCGAAAACTGTGGGCTATTAACATTGAGCGCGCTCAAACTAGTTCGACAGCGTTAAACGTTTAACGTACCCCGGAAAGCAGGGAAACTTAACTTTGCCAGTGATGCCTGTAGTTTTTGACATACTCACACTCGGAAACGTGGTCAAACAACTATAATTAATTGCAAAACTTTCATTTACTAAGTTGTTAGATGTTTTGATCATTTTTGATTGCTCCTCTGTGGAAAACTTAACATTAGTTAACGAGAAGCTGATTCCAACAACAAGGAGCAAAAACAATTTGCTTAATCAGTTACTTTTTGCAGACATGTTTTACTTTCTTACATATTTAACTCATATTTCTAATGTAAGGTTTGATATATAATACAATATGATATGATAAAATAATTTTTTTTTCTTTTTTTTGATATGGTGAGGATATGGTGGGTTATATACACAAATTCTCTCAATATAAATCGCAGCCACTTTGATAGATCCTGAAAATATATGTCAACCGAGATATTTCAATCTCCGTATGGGAAAAGTCGGTCAATTGTGGTTTGATCCTACAAATGCGGCGAGAATGACTTTGCTAAGTGCAAGTAGTTCCGAGGGCCTTTTACGGTTCACTTTGGGCCAGAAGGATCTCACAGGTGCACAGGTTGTAGATGTTGATCAGAAATCAAATTTCTAAAATCACTCAAGGCCAGTGGATTCATTTGAAAAACGACTGATCCTCCCTAACAAGCTAATCGGCATATCAGTCATCAATCTCCTGCAATTTCAATGTGAGTTTAAAGCCAGAATAGCATATCGGCTAATGGATTGAATACACCCCTTTCTGAAGAAGGCTACATTACTGCTACCTTAATGACAGCCACCTCCCCCTGAAATACGCTAAAGTGCTCCACCTCCTATGTTCCCTCTTAGCTTGGATTTATACAGAAGAAGCATATCATTCCCAAGACAGCAGAAAAAGAACCGATAGGTGAAGATCTAAATTGTAAGGAACGTAATAAATTGAAGAATTTCAGTGTGTTCAAGGCCGAGGCCTTTCATATGTACAGCTTGCCTATCAACTATGTGTACATCATGTAGAATAGAGTTGAGTGCCATTGTTGGTGTTGTCCTTAGTGTATACCTGTATGATCATTGTCTAGGTAAGAAACCACTTGAATTCCTTTAAATGATCGTTCACCACTAGGATCTAAAGAAAAAGAGAAAGAACGCCTCTTGAGGGGTTCCCTTATTTACAATGGTTCTGTCCTAAATAAGAGTATAAATGATATAGGGGTTCCAATAACCGCCTCTTGCCGTACGCTGTTGAAGATCCCTCCGATATCATGGAAGGTACCCACACCATAATCTTATAAGGACTCTCTTCGGCCATGGCCCTTCCGTATGCAAGACAGTATCGACTGACCGTCCACATATACGTTTTTAATAGATACAAAGACAGGCTGGCAGGACTGAAGTCCTTAGCAGTGACATGAGAGTTTTTCCAGGTCTTCGGAACTACCGCTATTGTAACCTGACTCCAAGCCACCGGAATATGGCCAAAAATGGAGCAGTTCTCTTCGAAAGGGGTTAACCTGCTACATGATATCTTTTTCACCTGAAAAAGCTATGGAGGTATAATTTTGTGCGGCGACAAAACTCTAAAGCAACATACATATGATAAGCTCTGCTCAGCTATGTGCTGTTACGCTGTTTGCCAATTAAGCTATTTATTGCTGGTTTCATATAAAGTTTAATCGCTTAAGTTTGATACCTGGATTCTTACGGATTGTAGAAATAATTGTTTTGATGCCTCAGAGTTGATCTCACCTACATGCTTGTGAACTTAATGAATTGCTATTATTATTGTTGCTGTATGAAAAAGTCCAGAAAACGGTGACCAATAGAAATACATACGTACAAACTCACACACATACTATATAATATGTTAGGCCATATATAGTAGAAATTTCAAATGTTGAATAGCATATAGTAGTCCTAACACGTCCACTAGCAATAAACTAAAACTTGCTTCCAATATTAAAGCACAAGCATAGACTTTTTCGTACTTCGTTCAGCGTATCTACGTAGGCGTGCTTCCAAAACCATAAATCAGCCAATTGGAATATATCAAAACAACTTTCATCACACATAACTTGAGCATATCTGAACATAACTCTGCTAAGGCAGTTAGCAATCGGTGCTCATTGAAAACATGCTGCAGCTATGTAACAGGAATATTGCTTTGCTAACTTTCAGGCAGTTAATCTTTTCAATTTGGCGTTCATACGGAAAGTTGCTTTTGTTTTTTATCTACTCACCATCCACGATGTGCACGCGCACCGATGTAGGATTTGCATTTGACGGCGTACAAGTGTATAGTCCCGAGTCCTGTTGTATGGCCTTTTGCACCAATAATCGGCTGGTAGTGACTACACCCTTCTCAGTTACTAATGATATACCACCGCGTGGCGAATCAAAATTTATGACCTGAAATGGTAAGAATAAGAGGTGTTTCTGTGATAAATTTTTTGGGAAATATTAATTTTCATAAAAGATGTTTAACATTTAAATTGACTATAACTTTGTTGACAAGTGTTGTAAGTTTTGCAAACTGCAATTTAAGCTTGTTCTCACTAATTCATGATAACATTATACCACGAAATGTTATATAAGGCCCATATTATTGATTGTATTGATATAACTTATTGTGTCTGTTAGTGCTGTTGTCGGAGAAAACATACAAAAAAGTAGGGTGCCTATTTTTTAAGCTTTCTATATTAGTGTTAAGATATATATGGGTCTACGTCTTCATATTAAGTGAAGGAATAAATAAGGCCTTAAAATGTTAGCTAGATAATATGACAAATTCTTTTGATAAATATTTGCAGAGTTGTTTAGTGGGCTAAACAAATATCACAAATAATTTTGTAATGATTTTTTTTTTATTCATATGAATTGGGTTCTATTATTGATATGGATTGGGTTATTTGGACTTAAGACTAGTTTTTCATTTTTAGTTAAAGTAAAAAAAAATATGGGATAACGTATCAATCGTGATATCCTTCGTTTATCCATTCGTCTGCCAAGTCTCTCACTAAGGTTTATGTACCATCTAAAAAAATGCCAATGTCAATCTGACATTTTCTTGTATTTTATTGCAAATATTTATAATCACCTTTTATAATTATAGCAAATTTTAATAAATTTGACTGGTTGGATCGTATATATTCTAATAATGAAATGGTAAACCTCACTGAAGAAAAATGTCAAAGAAGCGAGTAAAATAAGGCGTCCTTTGCTGTCTCTATAGGTTTACTTTTGCAGTGCCCTATTGAAAACCAAAATACTAACCCAAATTTCTATACAATTCTTATAAATTTGGCCTTCAGGGAATTTTATTTTTCTGTTTTGGCACAAACATTAATCAAAATGCGTCGAGTTGTTCCTTTGCTATAGCTATGATGCGAGCACGGCAGGCTTTAAAGCGCTAATTCAACTTTTATGAAGTTGTTGTCATTAACAAAGGTGGATAGAGGACTCGCTTAATGGAAATTGTCGCTGATCTCACGACTTTTAACTGAATGCTTTGTGTCACTCGAATAATTGTATTGGTGATGAATCAAACGACATAAAATAATTGTAACTATGTGACATTGTAAACATATGCACAGCCATGGTTCCATTGGAAGTATAAAATTTTAAGCGAACTTTTTGTTTCTATGGTAAACAGCTGCAAAACACGCAATAATTTTACATGTCATGTCACAAGTTAAAAAGGGTTAAATGTATGGATGCAGAAATAACTTCCCGCTATTTTTTTTTCATGAAAATGCATTTTATTGTTATGTTTACAAGTGAATTGCTCGAAGTATTGTCCATCGCTAATCGCAACTTCCATCCTTCTGCGAAAGTTCGAATGCCATTTCTTTCCAAGAACCAAGGCATTTTCGATGTTGTCTTGTGAGTAGAAATGCTTCTTAGTAAGACCACGTGCCGTTGGGGGGTGGAGGCCTAGGACTTCCAATTTCTCTATGACATGGCTTACCGCTTACTCCGAAAGCTGAAGAGCAATCTTACCTTGCGTTTGATATGGATCCTCATCGTCTAATTTTCACTGTCTTCAAAGGCTTTTGGCCTTCCTCCGCCAGCGTTAACATCGTAATCGCGAACTTAGTTGCTCTGTTAATAAATATTAGCACCAAAACGCGTGCAGTTTTAAATCAGAAAAATGTGTTCACCATAAATACATCAATAGCCGCTTAGCAAATAAATTTTACTTAGTGTTTCGCTTGAGGGATTGGAAATTCCCTTGTTTATTATGGTTGTTTTGAAAGTCGTTATGTCTCTTAGTTCTTTTTCACATTACATAATGTCAGTTTATTTTATTTGATGGAGTGTGGTGAGTCTTCCCACTTCCATTAGCTTAAACATTTGAAAGAATTTTTTCCCTTTTGACGTTTGCGTTTTTTTGGTTTGTTTTACTTTTGCTTGCCTACGGTTCGTGCATAGTTGAGTGAGACGCTTATGAAGCGTATAAAACTCAGCGGAACCCTCGTCAAAACGTTTTCACATTTATTTGTCAAGTAAATGCTATATTTTATGACAGTGGGAAATCAAACACTCGTATTTTGAGAACAGTCAGATAAATACATACATATATGTGGATTAGTAAGCGTATATTTATATATATGTACATATACATATGTGAGCGAAGTGGGTTGACCTTTTACTCTGGGTATTATCCTTATTAGCAATTTTTTATAATGATTTTTTTCCGCTTCATATATATACATATGTAAGTATGTAAAGTATATATAACGGAATTTATATACATATCTATGTATATTGTTTTTTTTCATCAGTCATGGTAGTTGTAAGTTTACTTTTAGGATTTAATTTTTTTAGGTTTTTATTGCTTTTAGTAAAAAATTGCTCTTGTCGACAAGTCGAAAATCTTTTGTGTCTTTGTTTTGCACGCAACTTTCACTTACCTCCCGATTGTGTGACCAAATGACTGTGGGCGGCGGTTCTGGGGCGAATTTGACAATACAAGTCAAATTGATTGTTGAACCTTTGTTTATATGTAACTCTGGTCCGCCAATTACTTCTGTTATGGGTTCTGTAAAAAATTCATAGACAAATGTTATTAGTATAATAAAAAAATTGTGGGAGATTATGCAGTAATTATATAAAAAATTCACCAAATTTAAAATATATAGAGATAATTTGGATTTTGCCTTGTTTTAGCGGAGACTAGTACTAATAACTTCAGCGAAAATTTTTACTTGTTAAAAAAGTAAAAGAATTAAGTATAACTCAGATAGTATAATTATTTTGAAAAAAAAAAAAAAAAATTATTTTTTTAAACCTATTTCAGCCAAATAATTTGAGAACAAGCATTTTATATAGCCATCGATATCGAAATATTGTCTGATCTTGGGGACATATGGAATTTAGCAATATACTGGTAAGCTTAGGTTAGGTTTTGAAACTGGTATATGTAGTTCTTTGTGATGCCGTAAAAAGGAAAACTCCTACGTTGGTTCTATGCCTTTCATTGCTGGCTCATCAGCTTTGCAATTTACTGCGATTCTGCTATGGCCCGGCACTCATACCAGTCTTGTCATAAAGACACTCGATGCTATTGTTTGCGAAATTAGGCACTTTTCGACCAACCCTCAACCCATGAATGACTTCAAGGTTAGGGTCGCAGTTCTGCTGTATAACTGAATGGTCACTTCTCTGCAGGAGGTTATACTTCTGTTAATTAAACTCTAAAACTCTATAGAAATATTGAAAAATTGCATTTTTGTTGAAAATTATTCAGTAATTTCCATTACTTGTATATACGTATAAATATAGTCATTAACAAAATGACTTAATGTTCTCAAATATAAAGCATTTCGCCTCCGCAATTGCATATACTAAATATGCGCTTAATCTCTCATTTGACTGTCTCATAAACAAAAGTAAAGATTATACGAGTATTTCAAATAAGCAACCTAAGGTTTATCGTATTTATTCTCACTTATTTACAAATACTCATTCAAGCGTGGTTTTGCATTTTCTTTAAGTTTATTGAGAGCTTAGCCCCTAGAGGTAACTATAATCAATTCCAGAATGTCTTACACACATACCGATATGGTAGCACATTTTCACAAGAAAAGAAAAGTGTACACACAAACACGCAACTCGCACGCACGAAATTTATCCAGAAAATCCTTTTTTGTTTACCAAATTAAACGATTTCTTGTGTTCATCTGCAACGGACTAGTGGACTTGCCGAAATTTTGCTTTCTCATTTCACAGTTTTCCTTTGCTCCATTTCGTGTATTTTTCGCTTCTCATGCAGCATGTTTGTTTATCTACTCCCACTTGGTATTTTTTAATTTTTTTTTGGGTTATACATTTTGGAAATCCACGCGCTGTCAGACGCAGCTATATTTTTAGTGGCTACCATGTTTGTGTTATTATTTTGTGCTGAGCGCAACTCTCACTATCGCATGAGGTGGTGATCTCAGCGGAAATTATGACCTTACGCTTTTAATTTGCTGCATTAATATGCGGTTCTCATATAAAATGTATATATTCGCATATGAAAAAAGCTTTTTGGCAAAGATTACTTTGTGTTTGGGACGTTGACGTGGACTGCGATTGTGGCGGCACTGCTGAGCATTGCAGATATGCTTTGGGAATTGAGAATAACATTTGTATTAACTGCTGTTATGGCTGCCATATGTGCAGCAGCAAGCCTTAGCTGTGGAATTTTATATCTTAAGTTATGACTAGGCAACATTTTTCTTATTGCTTGGCTAAATGAAGTAGAAGAATAAGTTTAGAAATCGTTTAGAAGTCTCATAAAAGGGTTAAATAGTTGAAGACATCTTTTAATGGTTGTTTCGTTTTTCTTTTATTTTGCCCAGGTTTAATTTTTTTTGTTCTTTTCTTTTCCTTGATGGTTCATGCCATTTCGTTACTCTCAGTAGGCTACATCCACCGGAGCGTATGAGTAATATTAATGTAGTTCAGTCGCAAGTGTAACATATGGTACAGTCCGCTTATGATAATCATAAGATAATAAAAAAGATGATTTTGCAATATATACATGGAAAGTAATGCTATACGCAGTTTTTTGCCTCCCAGTCGACTTTTTAACTTGCTTTGACTTGTTTGAGATAATAATTTAAGGACACACCTAGGGCTATGAGTGATGTTGCGTAAATAAAAGGAAAAACATGCATGAAAGTAAGAGAACCGTAGTTATCAAACCGTTTTCCTTAGTGAACCATATATTTTTAAGGTTATTTCAGAGCCCTTATAATTTGAAAACCTTGCCCTCCTTTTGATTTTGGTTTAAAATTCAGAATTTTTACGTTAAACAAATTTGTAAAGAGAAGATTTATAAAAATTAAAAATTATTAACCAAACAACAATAAAGTAAATACAAATACAATATAAAATCAGAAGCCCAAAAATTCACCCGAAATTTTACTTCCTCTAATTTTTCCAAAAAGCTATTTCCAAAAAAAAAAATTCACAACCCACCACATCACCTTAGCCATTATTTGCAACTAACTATTTCCCACACAAAAGCAGCACCAGCAAGTTCTTATTAATAAAGTTAATTTGGTTTAAAACCGCTAAAATTAGTTTCTGCGCAAATTGCCTGTATGCTCGGTTGTGGCAGCAGCATATCTGAAATTATGTGTCAGAGCGGATTACTTGTTTATATATTATGTGTGTGTGTTTGCGAGCGCTTGGGGCAGCAGGTGCTATTAATAGCCAAACATTAATTTGACCTCGACTTGTTTTCGCTTGTATTTGGCTATCTTTGGTCGCTTTATGCTGCAGCAGCCGCACAGAGTGTTTCATGTGGTCAGTTAGATGATTATGGTGTGGTTAGAATTCTGGGGCACCGTTGACAGCTTGACCTAATTAGGTAAATTTTTAATTATGAAAATTTATTGGTAACGTTAGAAGTACGCTGTATCACGTTATTTATGTTGACAGCGGGGATAAACATATTTACTTTTTGTAAGCAATTAAGCGCTTAAGGAAACCGAGTAATATATTTCATAAAATAAATTTGCTTTAATGCATTAAGATAGGAGTATTTATTTACTCTTTCCTGCAAAGTCTAATACACTGAAGGTCAAGAATTTATATGCGTTTTATTGCAGCCATTTTCAATAAAGCTCTGTTTGATAATACTTATAATTTTGAAATTGTTTTCTTTTTAAACAGAAATACTGTGTGTTTGGTGAGCAATATATTTGATTGTAATACAAAGTAGAGTCAATGACAGTTGAGCTCATAATATATAAAATTCAAGATTTCCCTAAATTCGTCAAACATCCGCTAAAAACTTTCTCTTTTGCTATAATAAACCATTTGAATATATTTCATAATTTCGGAAATGTAGTTATGAGATGGCAACCAAGTACTGATAAAAAATTAATCTAAAAAATATTTACGTTCGACAGCTATTTTGCGATTACGTCAGTATAAGTATTGACCGGCTATGAGTAAGAAATAAATGACGGCATCTTAAACCGAAATATTGGTCAGTTAATTATTTTGTTCGTGATTTACTTAAAAAAAAGTAAAGTATATATAAATAAACTTATCTCATACTAATGGTTTCAACGATTACTAAAGTTATTTGTTTTCGAAATAAAGATGCTATTGCAATAACAACTTTTCCAGAAGCGACAAAAAACATGCGTACATACTACATATGGACATACATATAATAAGCACTTCTTTTAAAAACAACGATATTCAAAACAAGAAAAAACGTTTACTTCGGTTGCACCGAAGCTAAATACCCTTCACAGGTGCATTTATGTTAGTAACTATATGTTCAGTTTGTATGGAAGCTATATGCTATAGTTAACCGATTGGAACAATTTCTTCGGAGATTATATTGTTGCCTTAGAAAACTATCTATACCAAATTTCGTGAATATATCTTGTTAAACGGGAAAGTTTTCCATACAAGAACTTGATTCCGATCGTTCAGTTTATATGACAGCTATATGCTATAGTGAGCCTATCTGAACAATTTTTTCGGAGATTACATTGTTGGCTTAGAAAATTATCTATACCAAATTTCGTTAATATGTCTTGTCAAATGTGAAAGTTTTCCATACAAGAACTTGRTTCCGATCGTTCAGTTTATATGGCAGCTATATGTTATAGTGGTCCGATATCGGCAGTTCCGACAAATGAGTAGCTTCTTGAAGAGAAAATGGTGTTTGCAAAATTTCAAAACGATATCNACAGACAGACGGACATGGCTAAATCGAATCAGCTCAACATACTGATCATTTATATATATACTTTATAGGGTCTCCGATGCTTTCTTCTGGGTGTTACAAACTTCGCGACAAAATTAATATAGGTACCCTGTTCAGGGTATAAAAATATAATATATAATCGAAATCTATGGCACATTCTTATCTATACTGAATACTTCTCATTCTCTATCAAAAGTGTCGTTCCCTCTGCATATGTTTGTAAAACAGCTTAAATGAACCTTACAATTCTTATGCATTTTAATGACGAAAGGGAAAAGTTTGACTAAAATTTCGCGTGCTCAAAGACCCTTATGTGTTTAGCTCTCTAAGGCGATAGAAAGTGGTGTGAAGGCATATAGGATTGTATTTTCTCTTGCATAAGTACTAATAGAAACTGAACTATGGAAAAAACAAATAAATAAACTATTTAGTGTTGTAGAAATTATGACTTCGAAATTTCATCAATTCAAGTTAATTCATGATATTTTTGGAATAAAAATCAGAATGGAACTTTTAAATCTCTTACAAATACTTGTTTACAAGAACTTGCTTCCAATCGTTCAGTTTGTGTGGCAGCTCTAAAGTATGGTGATCCTATATTATCGGTTTCGACAAGAAGGCGTATACAATATTGCAATGTATATACAGACAGACGGACGGTCAAACAATCAGAAGGACATGGCGCAATCCATTCATCGTAATGCTGAACATTTGAATATATATTTTAGAGGACTTCCGACATTTAGTTTTGGGTGCAATAAACGTCGTGGCGAATTTCGTACTTAAACTCATACAAATTTAAAAATAAATATGTTTTTCTG